TCACGACTTTCTAGAAGTCCACTAGATACTACCTTGACGTGCATAATGCACAAATTATTCACTCTAGTGCCTGGAATTCGGCGTAAAAAAAATGCCAAAGCCTTTTCTAGAGACAGAATAGTCAACATGAAACAATTGCGAAGATTACTTTGAACACCTCTCTATATCGAAGACAGACATACCTAGCGTTACACCTGATATTAGCAGCGTTGGCTTCTAATTTTGTCACATGCAGTGTTCTAGCTTTATTATTCGCAATGCCCTGCGCGTATTTATTCATTAATCTGTAATTAAAAATGCTGTTACTGCGGGCAAAACTTTTTATAGGGGTGTTATAAGCAGCCTAGATCAGCCTTTGTTGCACTTCTCATAAATATTTATAATCAATTTATGCGTATGCCCACATTGGTTATAGACTATCACAAGATCCCCATTTAGCAGATAATATTAATAACCTAAATTATATAATAAATCGAATAGAGTATTTCTCCCTTCTCCCTCATCTCCACAGCTTCCTTCTCCCCTCCCTTCCCTTACCTCTTCTCCACCAGCTTCTCCCCTTTCTTCTTACCAGCTTCCCATCCTCCATCTCCACCCCTTCACCCCTCCCCTTCTCCTTCTCACAGCTTCTCCCCCTCCTCCACAACGTCTCTTCTCCCCCTCTCCCCACTCCTCCTCCACCAGCTTCTTTCTTCCTCCCTATTTCCCTTCCGTGTATAAGTAGTATTAGTCATAGTAGTATAATTAGTTTAGTATGAGTAGCATCAATAGTAGTAGTTATAGTAGTAGTAGTATTAGTACTAGTAATATTAGTTATAGCTAGTAGTATATAGTAGTAGTTAGTAGTGTAGTAGCAGTTATATAGTAGTAGTACAGTAGTAGTATCGTGGTATAGTAGTAGTAGTAGTATATAGTATAGTTATCAGTAGCGAGTATGGATTAGTAGTAGTACATTAATAGTGTATTAATTAATAGTATTATGGTTGTTTGTTTGTTGTTGTTGGTGTATGTTGATTTTGTTGTTGTTGTGTTGTCGTTAGTTGCTGATTGTTTAGTTGTTTTGTTGTGTTGTTCTTAATTATGATGCTTATTGTAGTATGAAGTATGGTCCGTGTTTGTCATTTGTGTTGAGATAATTATGTTTTCCCAATTGCAGGCCCCAAAAGTGTAATATGGTGCTTAAATACTCAAAAATAGACATCTTAGCGTATTTGTTATCAGATTTAGCTTGGCATATTCTGGACGCTGATGGCCCTGATCGGCCACTCCCCCGAATCAGCCAAATGTTCAGATATACTACTATATCATACATTGGTTGAATGAAGTGAGACTATATGTCGATAATACGTGATGCCGGTTATTTTCTTAATTCACGTATTATAGACCAGCTGGATTTAATCCATGTAGAATGTATGTCGACCTGAACACTTAACATTCCCTTTCATAAACAATTACTTTCAAATACCGCCCAGCAGCGAACCACGAGTGATTAGTCGTTTCTGAATGACATCGTTGAATTTCTTTTAATCACCGGAAAGTAGTCAAATCCGTGCCTTTGGGCGCTTATGTGGTAAAAGATTTTCACACAGAATCACACAGTAAAAAGGGTTTTTGCACCATGGTTGATTAAGTAAACTAATCTCTATTCATTAAAACGTCCGCCTTGTGTGCCCGTGCATTTGCACGTGCATGTTGCGTGTAGTTGCGTGTACGCGTGTGCGTGTACGTATATGCGTGTGCATGTGAGTGTATGTACGTGTGCCTGTGCGTGCGAGCGCGCGCGCGTGTGCGTATGTGTGTGTGTGTGTGTGTGTGTGTGTGTGTGTGTGTGTGTGCGAAAGAGAGAAAGAGTGAGTAGGAAAGTGCGCGTATATGAGCCTATTATGCGTAATAGTATGAGCGTGTACGTGCGTGATTGCATGCGTGTAAAACACATGCAACGTAAGCCATTAACAACGTAAACACATTATACACTAGTTCGGAATTATTACGAATGCATGCCGAATCCTTTTAATTACGTGTGTAAAACATGAGGGGGTCACATCAATAAGCAGCGTGTAGTAGTATAGGATGAATCTCCGCGAGGGTTCTGCATCTGCGTATTCGTCTGCGTGCGCATCATGCGACAGAGTCTGCCCCTGCCTCTGGATAAACCTGCGCTCACATCAAGCTCCTTATATATAGAGAACCTGCAAACCTGCGCGGTTTCTCCTTGCGGGACTACATGACACGTACACGCGCGCGAAAACTCTTGATTTATTCGCGTTAAGTGAGAGCAAATGTTGTGCGAATGTGCATAACTGGTCAGCGCGGCATGTCTTCTCACGAACAAGATAAGCTAGTGTGACAAATTTTCGTTTGTGTTCGCAGTTTGCCTGTAAAGATATTGATTAATGGACTTCAGGTGAAAATAATAGAAGGTTTCGAATAAAGACAAACTACTCATACTCGTCTTGCGTCCCAATGTTTGGACAATCAGCACACACCGACAGCCTTTGGTAGAGCACAGCAACACGCACACGACAAGTGTCTAAAGGAGTACAAGAAACCACACGAGAAGTCAGCGACTTAAGCAGTAGACTATCGGACAATTCATTTAGCGCCGACTATCGACCTCGATACAGAGAGACCCACAGCCAAATAAGGAGGTATGGATAGAAAAATACCTTATATTTCCGTCTCATCATTGAGTATTGATCGACGGTAGTTGCTATAGACGTGTGAGAGGTGCAACGCTAGCTAACTGATCAGCGCGGATAAATATTGGACTCTCAGGTGAGTTGTTTACAATTTGATTGTTCGATGTTTCCGGTGAATGTTTCCAGCATACAGATGCATATGATAACGGCGTGAGTACATAATATAAATACGTGCTAAATTGCAGAGACGGATCCTGGAAGGTTTGAGGGGTCTGAACCACCTTTGTGAGTAGAGCCCTGATTTTCCCAGAGTGCAAAGAAAATTCATCTTATTTAAAATATATAGCCCGAATCCATCAAATTTCAACTGTATTTTTTTAGAAAAATATGCGGGGTCGCTCCAAAACCCTCACGCTCTTAGCTCTGTATTTACCAGACTCTTTCATCCTAAATTTCCGGATCCGTTACTGAATAATAAATTGTCATTGTGCACGTTCGCGTGCATACATACGCGCGCGCATTTGCAACAGTTTAAGAATAGTTCTTTGGATATAAAATGATTATTAAAGTGCCTGCAAATGAAGCGTCAACCCATATTTCAAATTCAAAGTGTGACGTTTTTCAAAGCTATCCCGCGCATGAGATGCGCATCTTAAACGTGCATCACAGTAGTTTCTTTTCTCTATTTTGCGCGCAATTTCTCTATTTACGCACGTTACTTGCGTCGTGCTTTCTTGCGTAAAGGTTATTGCTTTAAGCACCATACCAGCCCGCATACGTGACTACTTAGCACTTATTGTAATTTTACATTTTATAGCTACCATTTAAAAAATGCGTTGTTTCCTCGTCTTAGGGGCACTACAGATGCAGCATCAGCGGTGTACCATGCAGACGGCTCCGCACTCCGATACATACTTACGATTTGTACTCGCAAACCATCTGCGTTATAGATCCATGAAATATTTTATTTGCGTACATGATGTATAGAAAATCTCGTGCTAGACAGCGGTGTTCTCGGCGGAGTTCCAATCGTCTTGCATTATCCATGGGCCCGTTGTCAGAAACGTCGTAAAGTTACGATTAATTTTAAGTCTAATGTTAATGTTAAGAGAAAAGTTAATAGCGTTGACAGAAACCTATTGTAACTAAACTTACTTAAGTGAAAACTCACGATAACAGGAACTTCATAATTTCATGTCACAATGCTGCTGATTGGATGAGAATCAATCACAAAATTCAAATTCATACACATTTATTGTACATCACAGTAATTTATGCATATTATGATGGCTAACCACATATAAATACTATTTGATGAAAAATGACGTGATCATGAATTTATTCTGCACAACAAGACAAATTCTCACACTGTAACACGAGACGCGAGAGTTGTGGCAAGCATGGTAAGCATTTAAAACAAGAGAACAAAATGCCATACGCCATTTGTAAATGTATTGTTTTGTTTTATTAGCGGTAGATAATTAATAATTTTGACGTGTTTTTCAAGAAAAACACACATTTTATTCATTATTATCAAATATAATATCACTATAATTGTAATTCGTAGTGTAAATGTGTTATTTTCAACTTTATATTAAAGTTAAGAGAGGGTATATAGGATCTCGTAAGTTAAGAGAAAAGTTACGAGAATTTTTAATTCTCTTAACTTTACGAAGTTTCTGTCAACGCTCTAAGAGAAAAAGTTAATGTTAAGGGTTAATGTTAAGACTAATTTGTTTCTGACAACGGCCCCCATGTCTTTAGCGTCAGTGGCCCATCGTTAAATCCGGACACCAGATGGAGCTGATCGCTGGGACCGACCTACATCTCCAGAACAACGTCAACTGCCAGGATCGTCGGCACATCACCGATCGATTAGACTGCAGTGGTTCTTAACCTTTTTTGAGTCATGGACCCCTTTGAGAATATGGTGACAGCTACGGACCCCTTCCCAGAAAAGCTTGTTTATGTGCACATAAGCAGATAAACACAAAATTGTGCATAGAATTCGGTTCACGGACCCCCTGAAGCCCATCCACGGACCCCAAAAAGGTCCATGGACTACAGGTTAAGAATCCCTGGATTAGAGATTAGTGTGAATCAGGAGTAGATAATAGGGAATAGATAATTCCCTATTATCTACTCCTGGTGTGAATGTTTTCACCGATTTTATGTAGGAACCGCTCGTCGTGGGTTCGCGCGCCACAGCGGGATGGCGGCAGCAGTGGCCACTAACACATCAACGGTAGCGACGCAAGGCAACGAAACCGAAGATGGCTGGGAGAATAGGAGAGTCGAGTTTCTCAAACCGTTGGCTGAATATCCGGGAATTTGTTGGTTCCTAGTCGTATTACTGACGGCTATGACTGCGTTCGGAAACAATTTGGCAATATAATGGTAAGCTGCGGCTAATCATATGCTGTTCGCTGTAAGAACTGTGACCGTGAAGGTATACGTTTTTGTAAACAGGGAAAAAGAAGGTAATGTGAAAGAGCAAGTTCAGGGCAAAGAGAGAGAGAGAGGGGGGAGGGAGAGAAAAAGAAGAGAGAGAGAGAGAAGAGAGAGAGACATAGAGGAGAGAGAGAGAGAGAGAGGAGAAGAAGAGACAGAGGAGACATGAGAGAGAGAGACAGAGATGGGAGAGAGAGAGAGAGGAGAGAGAGAAAGAGAGAGAGAGAGAGAAAGAGAGAGATCAATAAGAGAGCAAGGAAAGAACGCAATGTGGGACAGAAGGCTGACATAACACCGGCCGCATGCTGAATCACACGGCTCTTATATATATTATAATTATTATATCATTATTATTATCATCATTATTATAATCAAATAATTTAATTTTGTAATAATCATAATATATTACACTGTTGCAGGTCATAATGGCCATCTTAAAGGAGAAAAAGTTAAGGTCGACGGGAAATATGTTCGTCGTAAACCTCACGATTTCCGACCTTGGAATCTCTATGTTCGTGGACCCAATGGCTATAGTTGGTAAGCTACATTAATACACACACTAGATGGACAGATAGACTAATAGGCAAACAACAGACACACGGTCATTGGCAGAAGACAGAAAAGAATAATGGCGAGATCGTGAAAATTCAGTCCAGCGAAAAAGAGAGGAACATAGAGAGAGGGGGGCAGAGAGAGAAGTGGCGAAAAGAGAGGGGACGAGCCAGAAGGAGAGAGATAGATGAGAGAGAAGACAGATATCAAGGAGGAAGACAATGGCACATTTTATTAGGTTACTAAAGGAGAAAGAATAAGTGAGAGAGGTGATGACAGATGTGTATTATAAAATATTTAGTGTATATAAAAACTAGCTATATTAAGAGGATATTGTTGGTTCTATCTGCCTGTCCGTTTGTACTTGTCTATCTATCTGACTTCAGTTTACATACCGACACTATATTTTAAACGTCAGGCAGCTTTTCTAGCNCGTCGTAAACCTCACCATATCCGACCTTGGAATCTCTATGTTCGTGGACCCAATGGCTATAGTTGGTAAGCTACATTAATACACACACGTATTCCATAGATGGACAGATAGACTAATAGGCAAACAACAGACACCCGGCCATTGGCAGAAGACAGAAAAGAATAATGGCGAGATCGTGAGAATTCAGTCCAGCGAAAAAGAGAGGAAAATAGAGAGAGGAGGGGGGGGCAGGGAGAGGAGTGGCGAAAAGAGAGGGGCGAGCCAGAAGGAGAGAGATAGATGAGAGAGAAGACAGATATCAAGGAGGAAGACAATGGCACGTTTGATTAGGTTAGTAAAGGAGAAAGAATAAGTGAGAGAGGTGATGACAGATGTGCATTATAAAATATTTAGTGTATATAAAAACTAGCTATATTAAGAGGATATTGTTGGTTCTATCTGCCTGTCCGTTTGTACTTGTCTATCTATCTGACTTCAGTTTACATACCGACACTATATTTTAAACGTCAGGCAGCTTTTCTAGTACTACAAGTTAAATACATTCTGCTCAAATTTTGAGTTAATTCATGTAATTCGAGTATCGATAGCTGTCTCTTAGCGAATCACGAAACAGA